AATGCAAAACTTTGCTATTAAAAAAACCTTGGAAAAATAGGGAGAGGGTGAAAAACCTTGTAAAAAAATTTCTGAGTTTTTTTAAAAAAAAACCTCGTAAAAAGTAAGACCTCGGAGTATTGGAACGATTTCCAAGGATTTCAAAATAAAAACCTCGTAAAATAATTTCTGAGGATTTTGTTTAGAAAACCTTGGAAAATGAGTGACCTCGGAGTATTGGAACGATTTCCAAGGATTTTTAAAGTGTTTCCGTGGTTTGTTTTCCAAGGTTTTTAAATGAAAACCTTGGAAAGTTTCTCACAACTGGGAATACTGTTATATTTTCGAGGATTCTTACTTAAGGGCATCAGAGAATTTTCCAAGGTTTATTTGAGCAAAAACCTTGGAAATTTCTAGAATATCCATGGAAAATCAGAAAATATAACATCCAATGAAATATTCTGAAAAGAGCAATTGTATTGTCCATTTAAGGAATTAAGAAACTTCTTTGTAATAATACAGAGCAAAAAATGATCACATGACTCACTTAAACAAATTTATGTCAGTGTGAAGTAAATAGTAATGCACTACAAATGAAAAGTTAAGTTAGAAGTCTTTAATGGTAAATATTACACTCAATGTTCAGTTATAATTTTTTGGTATCCGGTTAAATTTTAATGTATTCAAATATCTATCTTTTGAATTCCTGTTCACTCTTCATGATTTTTAAATGTCCTTAAGTTTTTCCCTCACCATCACAGGGGTCACATGTGGAAAATGCTCCAGGATACAATTCCTGAAAATAAATAAAGTAAATATTTAATAAAGTACAGCCATTGAAAGAAGTTAGAAAAACAATTATATAAAATCACCACTGGGCGGCTTCCCTCTCCATTGGGCGCTTCCCTCTCCATGTGGTCAGGATCAAAGACTTCAAACTACTTGCCTTACAACATTGTATTTTTGACTCCTGAAGCCAGGATGGGCTTCTTCCCTCTGAGGGAGCTATCCAGCCCAGGATTAAGGAACACCTGTGGTTATACTCAGGACAGTTCAGTATGTGTAGGCAATCAGAATTACATCATTTAATTTCTTTTTTATTAATCAATAAAAAAATGATACATTCCTTAAACGTTTCCATAGACAAAAATATCAGTTCACTGTTGATATATATTGTTTTAAAAAATCAGCACTTTTGTGAAATCCAAAACTACTTGAATTACAAGTTGTTCAAGACCATTGATTAAAATGAAGGCTTTAATATTTTCAAATGACCTTTTCTGTAGTTACTTTTAAATGTTTGTCTACTGTTTTGAAATAGTGAATTTGATTTTTTTCATGTTGATTTCTTATTTTTCTTCATCAGTACTTAGTGTCAGGATTTCAAGAAAACATTGGTAAGCAGTTTGACAATTCTGCGATGTTAACAAAGAAACGATGTCTGTTACTATTATTTTAGATAATGTCATACTTGATGTTACAACCTAAAGCACTCTAAAAATATTGCAAAAAATAACGCTTTTCATAAGGTGATTCCCATTGCCTACACTAATTGTATCTGTCTGCTCAAAGTGACATCTGTATCAATAAAGCTGGAGAGTCATCATGTAACATTAATAGCATTTCCAACAAAGTATCAATAAAAAAATCAGTTTCCAGAAACCTTCATTTCATTCAAATTTCAAATTGAAACTTTCAAAACCTAGTTTTAAAACAAAAAACATACTGTAGTATATTCCTTGAAGCCTTTCCTGGTCTACAGTTGGCTTCCTTAATCGATGCCTGGATGCCAATGATATACTATGATAAAACACAGCAAAGCTGGATTGCCATCTTCTTGTAGTTTGGAACAGTCTTGCAAACTTGCTTACAAGCTGACTCTGTAATTAAAAATTTGTAGATTCAAATAATAGATGAAAGATGAAAGTTTATAAATAATGTCATCATAGTTTCATGCACTCATCTTGTTCAATACAATCATAGACAAAAATAACATTAATACTCATAAAATATCCTCTAAACAATTGTATTTAAACTAGCTTACATTTAGGTTAAAAATATAGATCTAAAATAGTTTGTATTTAATACTTATTTGAATAAAAAAAACAACAACAGATTTTATGCATAAATGTATCTGAAATTATTTACCTGAACCTTTTTACTATCATGTTTCTTTTGTTTATCTCCTGTCCCAGGTCATTGATCTTTAGATTCAATTACAACAACCAAACATTTCCTGAATCTTGTCACACTTAGATAAATGTTTTCTTTGAAAATTCCAACATTTAAAACAAGATATGTCCAAAATTGCTTAAAATAAATCCAGGTTTGCACTACTTCCAACTATAACCACTTGACCCATTAATGTCTGAGATTCAAATTTTTCAACAGTATAACTGAAGGGGCAATCATAATGTGAAACAGGGGTGGTCCCAAAATATCAAAGCCATCATCATTTTATTTTTACATTAATTTTATTGAAGGTACAAATATATCAAATGATACATAAAAGTAAAACTTGAAAATTATAAGAGAATCACAGTTGCAGTGTCATTTTAGACTGTTTTGGATTGTATAAAAACCCAGACTCCCCCTGAATAATCACAATGGAACAATCTGGTCTATCCCAGAATGCTCAATGAGAAGATTGATCATGCATAGATTATAAGAGGGAACCACCTGGGGTGCCATTAGTTTATCTGATCAGTGGTGTTATATTCTGTGTGTGAAAACTTAGTGGATGCAGTATTTATTTATCTTAATTATAAGAAAGATCAAAGCATACATATTTTACACATTAATTGTACATAATTATATATTAAAAGGACAATTAATAACTATTTATGTTTATTGTACACATAATTAATGGCAGAGTAAATTGTAATCTGATGTATGTCACAGACTTGCTTAGTAGAATATACTACTTTATATGGCATAAAAACATATATTTAAAGATTAATAGCATTCTTATTTCAGTGTTGCTTACAGGCTGTCAAGAAACCCTAAGTTAAGTCTATATATAGAAAGAAACTGCAGGAAAAATACTGATGCATTTAGAAACTAATAGACATAAACACTGATTGTTTCTTTTTGTATAATTATAAGTTTTGCTCTTTTGTCTATTCTTAAAAATGGAGAAGATATCTAGTAACAATAATTATAAATAATAAAAAAAAAAATATGAAAATAAAAAAAATAAAATTTTCAAGTCTTTCTGATCATCAGTTATTTGAATAATCTTTATCTTATTATGATTAGTTACAATACCTTTATAGCCATTAATAAAAGGTATTTTATGGCAACAAGGAATTTACATTTAATTTAACTTTTCCATGTTTTCACACTTAAATTTTTTTAATTGATTCCTCCCACAAAAATGGCTTCAGAAGATTAAAGTACAAATTTATTGAAAAGGAAGTTGGCCATTGACAATGTCCATACTAAAAATTGATTCCCTGGACCAAATCTCTCCTTTCCATGCTGTTGGACAATTGTTTGCTCTGACCATGGATTAAGAAATATCCATTGGCAATCTACAGTTGGGTTGTTATCTTAGTTTGCTTTAACTGTTGATTATTGCTTTTGATGCCCATTATAAGTTAAATCATGATTATGTCTTAACATTTTCCGAGATGAAATTTAGTTAAGTTCAATTATCCGAGGTCATTTCCAAGCTAAATATTGGCAAAGTGTTTCCAACAAATTTTACGTAAATTTTCTAAGTTCTTTTCCGAGCAAAAAAATGACAAAGTTCTTATTTCCAAGTTTTTTCCGAGCTGATTTTTGGCAGAGTGTTTAATTCCGAGATAGTTTCCAAGGTTTTCTTTATTTCCAAGGATTTTTATACAAAAACCTTGGATAAATTTTCCAAGGTTTTAAAAAAAACCTCGGAATTAAGAAAAAACCTTGTAAAACTGGTTTATTTCCAAGGTTTTTGAAGCAGTTTCCATGGTTTTTTCCATAAACCTCGGAAAATCTACACCCGGGTTATGAGAAAAATAACCTTTCTCTCATGACAGTGATACATTTAATTCTCATGAAAGTAAAATCTTTTGCTCATGACAGTGTTGACAGCTCATTCTTATTAATGTCAACCTTTCGCTCATGACAGTGAATGATTTATTCTCATGAAAAAAACACAACTTTTCTCTCATGACAGTAATACTTTTATTTCTCATGACAGTAAAAATCTTTCTCTCATGACAGCGATGACAGCTCATTCTCATGACATTGATGACAGCTTCCTTTTATGAAATTCAACTCTAAAGACTGGCAAACATCTTCAAATTTAATTTATCAATTTTACTATGATAGTTACCTAGTTATTGTTTGTAATTTAAAGGATGTCAATAGGGACAAAAAATATTATTGGACTCTTAATATGCAATACAAATTTTTGTAAAGAAATTCAAACATGCTTTTTAATGTATATTGTAGTTACCATTTTTTACCTCTTTCTGGAATAAATAAATTATCTTTATTATATTCACTGTCATGAATTAAGAACTCTATTAATGCAATAAATAGAAGGAACAAAAATTTCTTTAAAAAGTGGAGCTACATGCCAAATATCTAAGCTCTAGACCATGTCGTTCATGCTCATTCATCAGATTTTTGGATATGGCTGCCCAAAGATCATTCCTGTAAAGTTATGTCAAAATCAATCAAGTGGTTTAGGTATTAGGACAAGAGGTTGGTTAAAGAACTTGTGGATAACAAAAGATGAAATGCAACACAGGACTGATGACGGACATCATGATATCACAAAAACTCTTTGCTAAAAACAGAAACACTACCAAAATAAAATATAATGAACACTAATTTGCATCCTGTTCATTTTATAAATTGTTAAAGTTTGCTTTGCATTTCTTATTGTACATTTGCTTTATAAGTATAACTTATACAAACAGTTCATGTTATCACACAAAGCAAATCATATAAGATGGTAAACCTGTAACATAATGATTATTCAATATATCATTGCAATATATCATTGCAATAAAAAGTTATCCATTAATGTCTATTTTATATCTGTACTGGTAAGTTTAAGAAAAACCCATCAAACTATGCAAAATAGCTTTTCTTCATATCTAAGATCTACTGTATATAACTAGTATCTGTTGTAAAGTTGCTATTCAATTCAAAAAGTATTAGCATGATGGAAAAATTGAAAAAAAATTAAAATTTTACTTACGATGACTGATGAGACAAATTGATCATAAAATGTGATTGGGTTCCAGCCCGTTATGATGTCATAGGTGATAACACAGCCTGATAATACAGGAAAACATCAATCTAAACTTATTTACACAGAATGTGTCCTTAAAATATCTCATCATAAGTAAAGTGAAAGCCTAAGTGTTATGGTGTCTCTCTCTCAACCTATGAATTGTGGATATGAGGTCATGAATTAAGAACTCTATTAATGGACATGTGGTTTGGGTAACACCCAAGGTTAAAATCCTTATCATGGTCATGAGGTTTTAACCCTACTTAAAGTGATGACCATGTTTCCCCAGAAAGCAGACCTAAGAGTGGAGGAAATGAGCTCACAGCTTTTTCTCAATGAAATATGAATAAATATGTTAACAGTAAACTTGTGAAAACATATTCTTTCTTTTTATTATCTTAAATGATAATGAGGATTATACGAATGTCAAGGCAATCAAATCAAAATGGTTAAAAAATCTTTTTTCTCTTTCAGTCACAAGAGGGACTGCATGGTATTTCTATGTGATATATAACAAGCAATTATCATAGTATTGCAAGCAATCCATAAGTCCCCTACCGGTTAGAACCCCAGCAACATTCTGATTTAAATTTTACCAGTGAATAAATGACACGAATGAACTTAAATCTTTTGAGTTCTAAGTTTGTCTATTTCACAGTAATGTGTTAAGTTTCCCTGCCTAGTAAGGAAATTATGTTTATACAACCTTGTCATATTATTATGATGTGGGATTTTAAAGTAAATCCTATAAGGAATGAAGAAGTTGGAGTAAAAAATACCAATTTCTCGAAAAAAATCTAAGTTCAAGGGGGACATAATTCTGGAAATAGTCTTGCTAGAGTATTTAACCTTCTCAAAAATGTTGAGTGATAATAAAAACATATATATGAAGTTTGAAGTAAATACATTAGGAAATAAAGAAGTTATTTCAAAAAGACGTTTTTTTCATCATAAAACTTCTAAGTTCAAGGGAGGTAATACTGATAATTTTTGTGCTAGAGTTGTAAACCTTGTCACATATGATGTGATTGATGACCAGAAACTTATATTTAAAGTTTGAAGTAAACACCTTAAGAAATAAAGAACTTATAGTGAAAAAGCCTAAAAATATAAATCAGCCTTGAAATTCAGGCTATTTGTTGCCATAGCAACCAGAATTTTTAACATAGGAAGAAAAGAAAAAGATGTGCACAATCTGCAGACTGCCATCTATCCATATTTAAAGTTTCATAAAAATATTTTCAGTACTTTTTGAGTTATCACTGGATCCAGTTTATGTGTTAAATTTGCCATATTTTCAGACTATTTGTTGCCATAGCAACCAGAATTTTCAACATAGGAAGAAAAGACAAGAGGGCCATGATGGCCCTGAAGTCGCTCACCTGTATATAGGCCCCCCGGAGCGGGGCAAGTTTAAACCCCAGGGCTTTTATTTGAATAAACTTGGTAGACACCCATTAGAAGATGTTTCATGCTAAACATCTAAGGTCTAGCTTGTTGGGTTTTTTAAAAAAAGATTTTTTAAGTTTTTTCTTTACACATATACTAGTATTTAAAAACAATGACACTCCTGGGGCAGGGCCAGTTTTGACCCCAGGGCTTTTATTTGAACAATCTTTGTAGACACTTACTAGAAGATGTTTCATGCTTAATATCTAAACTCTAGCTATTCGGGTTATTTCCAAGAAGATTTTTAAGTTTTGCTATACACATATAAGGAAAATCAATGTCCCCCGGGGCGGGGCCAATTTTGACCCCAGGGCTCTTAGTTGAACAAACTTGGTAGACATCCATTAGAACATGTTTCATGCTAAATATCTTAGCTCTAGCTCTTTGGGTTCTTTAAAAGAAGATTTTTAAGTTTTTACTATATTCATATAGGGAAAATCAATGACCCCCTGGGGCGGAGCCAATTTTGACCCAAGGGCTCTTATTTGAACAAACTTGGTAGACATCCATTACAACATGTTTCATGCCAAATATCTTAGCTCTAGCTCTTTGGGTTCTTTAAAAGAAGATTTTTAAGTTTTTACTATATGCATATAGGAAAAATCAATGACCCCCTGGGGCGGGGCCAATTTTGACCCCAGGGCTTTTATTTGAACAAACTTGGTAGACACCCATTAGAACATGTTTCATGCTAAATATCTTAGCTCTAGCTCTATGGGTTCTTTAAAAGAAGATTTTTTAAGTTTTTACTATATGCATATAGGGAAAATCAATGACCCCCTGGGGCGGGGCCAATTTTGACCCCAGGGCTTTTATTTGAACAAACTTGGTAGACACTTACTAGAAGATGTTTCATGCCAAATACCTAAGCTCTAGCTCTTTTGGTTTTATAGAAGATGATATTTAAAGTTTTTTCTTTTGGTTGCCATGGCAACCAGAGTTCTGCATGGAATTAAATTCTTTGAACAATTTTCAAAGGTGACCACCAAAGGAACATTCCTGTAAAGTTTGGATGAAATTGGCTTAGTGGTTTATGAGGAGATGTCATTAAAAGTAAGTTTACGGACGACGGACGGACGGACGCCGGACGAAAAGTGATCACAAAAGCTCACCCTGTCACAAAGTGACAGGTGAGCTAAAAAAGACATGCATAATCTCCATACTGCCATCTATCCATATATCAAGTTTCATAAAAATATTTTCAGTACTTTTTGCGTTATCGCGGGATCCAGTTTTGTGGACGGACGGACTGACGGACGTTCTCACAGGACAGTAATTATGTGGCTACTCTATTGTTCTCTCTATTGTTCTTTTTAGCCACACAAAAGAAAATAGCCACATAAAAGCATTACGGAATGAATGACATCAAAGAGAAAGAACAGTTACCTATTGTCCCTCTAGCCACATAATTACTCTCCTGTGAGTGCGGACTGACAGACAGACGGACGTTCTCACAGGACAGTAATTATGTGGCTACTCTATTGTTCTCTCTATTGTTCTTTTTAGCCACACAAAAGAAAATAGCCACATAAAAGCATTACGGAATGAATGACATCAAAGAGAAAGAACAGTTACCTATTGTCCCTCTAGCCACATAATTACTGTCCTGTGAGTGACGGACAGACAGACGGACGGACAGACGGACGGAGGGTAAACCTAAAGTCCCCTCCGGTTAAACCGGTAGGGGACAATTAACATACATAATAATACACAGTTTACTAACAGCTAATCTAAATATATCAAAGCTTCGACAGAATTTCAAACAAAAACTTAATAATCATCATTGACAATCAAATCAAACAAAAAATTCATTAAAAATGTGACAGTACTATACGTACCAAGAGAATGAGCAACAACTGAGACTTTTCCACCATTTGGTTCAAAGTACGGGTGTCTCTCACAAAACATATCATACAATCTGTTCAACTCATTTTCTAAACTGTGTGTTATCTAAATATAGTAATTGTCATTAAACAGATTTTATACCAATAAGACTAACTTACGTAAGTAATATATGGATTAAACAATGAAAAGTATGACCATGAAGACCTTAAAGCTACATTAAATAAATTTCATAAAAAAAGAAATAGCTACATTTTGTTAATTAAATATGTTTCGTATTGACTCTCCTTTGGGTCATCCGTACATCAATAGAAAATCAACAAACATTTTTAAGTAGCAGTCAGAATTTAACGGTATATTTCCGCATTATATTACTGATGTTTTCATACAAATTCAATCTTTTTATGAGATGATTACTTTTTTGTAAACGACAGGGCTAATGCACCGTGAAACTAAAACGGTAAAAGTTTGTTTGCACAAGAATATCTCCTATTTGCTGTGATCCACATGGTTACAATTGATTTTACCATTGTGACGTAGCGCATACACGAGCTAATTATACAAGTCTTCATTTGCATGTTAAAATTCGTATACAAACTTTAGTGTTACCGTGGGGTTTTCCTTTTAAAATCATAACTTATGAACAATTTTTAATGAGATTAACAACAATACTGTTAAAAATGTTAACGAAACTATAGAATGCTTGGTTTGTAAGCCGACGGAAAAATATGTTTACCTATTTTATTTAATGTAGCTTTAAGATATGTGTCTAGTGACTTAGTTTAGATAATAAAAATAGGCTATAACCCTTGTTATTTTGTGCAAGAAGAAGAAACCTGTTGGATACATTAACATAATGTACATTATGACATGAAATTGAATTCTGCCCAAGGAAATATTTAGAAAATGTTCATTTCCTTTTCATATCTCTTAAAAGTTTGTAAAAAAAACAAAATCACATTCATATATTAAAGTAAAAGACAACAACATTAAGCAGTTTTTTCCTTCACAAACAATAATGCAGTCTTCAATAAATATACAGCAAGCATATACATGTTTATGATGTCAGACACAATGCTATGTCAATTGTAATTAAAGAAAACATAGTTTATTGAAGAATAAAGATAAATTATAAAATATTTGAAGAGACTTACCTCTGACCTGTATAATGGACTAGTGTAATACAATACATCCAGAGCACTTGCATTGAGCATAACACGTACTCCCCTCATACGCTGAGGTGTCAAAGATTCAACTGTGTCTGTAAAAAACAATATCTTTCCAGGTGTATTTTTACATAAGTATTGTATACATGCTCCATACAGAGACTAATCAAAAACAAAAGCTATCACACACACAGCCTGCTTGACCATTCTTTGTACATAATGATAAACAAGAGCAATATGGGAATTATATAAGTTCATAAAGGGGAATAGATGAATAAAAATAAATAATGTGAGAGTTATGGATCTTAATAACTTACTTACCATTACGACCCTAAGACAAGTGTGTAATGAAAAAAATTCAGTGGTTATGGAAATTGAACTAACATGAAAAAATCTAAATAATTTTCTTAATTTATTATGCCTACATCTTATCTCCAAGTTTTGTGTTTATACCTTCAACATTGTTTAAGAAACGGGCTATATTAAAGTTTTGCACAACAATGAGGATCACAACAACAACAACAGCCATCATAATAGCTTGACTTTTCTTCGAAACAGAGGAGATAAAAAGTGTGACTTTGTTGGTGGCAGTATTAGAATAGTGGCCAACAAATTCAGATTTTATGCCTGATTGGTTACTTTAACTTTTGTTATTTTAAAGAGACTTCCCTGTTAATAATATGAGAATTCATTAACAAAGTTAAAGGTTCATGTTGAACTAAAACTTGTCTAGTCAAATTTTTTTAAGAGTGAGAACTTGTTATTCATATATTAAGAGTCAATCAGCTGCTTTAATAACATACTTTATTCCAACTTAACCTACCTCCATCTAACCTCAATGAAGATCTCCATTCTACTGGAAGGAACTCTGCTCTCTGGTTTTCTTGATTCTCAAAATTTGGGAACGCTTTAGCCTTCACATGCTCTAGTTTATCTCTCATACTGAAATGTGCAAAAATATGTGACATGCAGTTAGTTATCTATAAGAATAAATTACCATATTAGTTCTCAGATATATATGCAAATCAGCTGTTATCAAAATAGCCGATATTCAAAGCCTCAAGTTTAAAGGTGAAAAATGAAGGGCTGTTGGGGGGAGAGGGGAGAAACAGCCATTGACACACTTTCTCTCAAATAAAAAGCATTTGCCCAAATAATGATAATATCTATAAACGGTTAAAGTGGAAGAGCAATTTATAAATATATTAGATAAAAAAAATTCAAACCAGAAAAAGGTACAACTCATTGCCCTTTATCAAGAAACTGACCTAAATAATATTTATCATCAAGTTGAATATTGGGACATGTAAAATAATGTCTTTAATCAAGATAACTGAGCACTTTTAAAAAAAATTAATTTGTGAAATATATGATCTTACTGGGGTTTTTTTTGCAACAAATGTCAGTCTTGACAAATCAACCGGTATAGAAGTTTTGCAAGAAAAAAAATAAACAAAAAGTTAATGTAATAAAAAAAAATTCTCTAGATTATAAAGAAAACAAACGTTTTAAAACTTTAAAATAAACAAATAAAACAAACGGTTTAACCCTTTAAAATTAACATCCCAATGATGAACAAGTTTTCAATAAAAAAAAAAATATCAAATTTCTTAGCTATTCTAGTGTGTAATTAAATACATTGCATGCAACTTTCAAAATGCATATAATGATACCATGTTAGAAGTAACAAAAAATACTGAATGAAGATTTACAAATATACTGATGCTATGTTACAATTTACAATTAAATCTTTCTTCTTCTCTTTTTTCATAACTTACTCGGGGGCAGCATCTGACAATATGGCCAGTGTCCATTTTCTGACCAATGCCATGTAAACAAAGACAAGATGTAAGTGATGTCTGTAGGTTTAATCGTCCATTTTCATAGCTTCCAACAATAACCTCTATGAAGCCTAGCACCAGCTGAAAATACGCAAGAAGCTTTATACAAATATATACATAATATTTACGCCATATATGTTTATTGGGGGGGTTACTATTGAGTGTTGCACACATAAATCTTTAGAGAGATTCAATACAGATTGATTCTACAAAACTTATTTGTATATTTACTTTGACTGTACAAAAACACTTTCCAAAAATATACAACAATATCATAAAAAAAAAAAAAAAAAGATGACATGAAAACCTTTAATAAAATTATAGAGGTTCAGTGTTTATTATTTATAAATGCAAATATTCCAGTATCTAAACAAATGATTTCCTAAATATAACAGAATCAGTTTTCCTAAAATTGTATTTTCTGTTAAAATTATAAAGATAATTATAAACTACATAAACCACATACTTTACATATATTCTTGTACTGCATGTATCTGCAGTCATAAATATAACCAGTTATTATAAGTTAAACACAATCTTTTGTGAAAACATTGAAAGTTTCAGAATTTTCACACATTGTGCTGCAAATTGATTTTCTAACTTGTATATCTTATATCTATGTGTTTTATTTTTTTCAAAATCATCTCCGTTCAACAGTCACTTAAAATTATGACTTACAGAGTTTCACCATTTGGGACACAAAAATTTGGTTGTTATTGAGAAGTTTTGCTCTAGAATGGTTAAATCTATTGTGAAGTCTGAGTTTGGGAAAACTTGAAACAGTTGTTGTAAAGAGGTAGTTATTCTACAGAGGGCTGTTCTGCAGAGGTTGCACTGTATATTCATATAAATGGCCATTCAATTTTGATCTAAAAATATGAATACAGTCAAATTGTGAACAAAGGAAATCCAAGGAAGATACCAAACATGGCCTTTATAGACAAGTGGACTTTATTTAGAGGCTGCTTTGGTGTTGTTGTTTTTTTTATTAATCAATGATTGTCCAATCCGATTGTCAACAAGGGGTCTCTATTTACAGGTTGATCATAATTCAGATGTGGTCTTTAACACAGGTTTTTGACTGTAATGTGTAATTTTACTTAATCACTTTATTCCAACCATCCTCTTCTCTTTTTTCTAGTATACCAATGCATAATGTAAAAATATAAGGTATAAGCATTTTTCTTAATAAAGTATTTACTACAAAACAACTTACATTTTTGAACACCTATTTTATTTCCAACAGCTCTCAAAAATCTAGAGGATGTTGTGTCACTAAACATGAACACATCTACTGGGGAATTCCACTCCAGATAGAAGTCTGTAAACCGAATGTTGAGGATGACTAGAAAAGAAAAATCAAAACTTTTACTATATATCACAATTTCTTGAACAAAAACTAAAACAATTTTATAAGGAAGACAAAGCAGCAAACATGCAATTCACAGATAGTGGTTCACCTGCCACCTGGTAATTAACATGTCTGCCTTTCAACTCAGTGATCATATTTGATCTCCGCTGGATTGTTATCACATGTCCTTTTATTTTATGATATCTTATTGTTTAAACACTAAAATAGATGAGAAAGAAAATAGCATGAAACAAAAATTCTAAAGTATCCCCACTAACTGGTTAGGCCTAGCCTTAATTCAGAACACTTCCTTAAAGATATTGGCAAGCACAAGCAACTGATTTAGGAATCTATAAAAATATATTCAATCTTACAAACCTGGTTTCGGTCCCTTTTATCTGTGAACAAGTTCTTCTACCAGCCTGTGACCCAGAAATGTTCCAAGGTATTCTGTCTTCTATTTGAGATGCATAGCCATCTTCAACTGGTTGCCATGTATTGTCATAAAACCAAGTAACCTCTCATAATTTTACTTTTGTCATCTTAATAGAATATAAAAAACCAAAATTTCACAAAAGTACAAACAATCTGGCATACATGCCTGATGGTGAAATATGCTGTATATAGCTAACACCCATATTAAACTGGATATTGTTGTTATGCATATAAGAAGGACATTATCTGCATTAAAATGGAAAAATTGTCATTAATGGGAATAGGGAAAGTTGTAAGTCTGCAGGTATGCGGATAACTCATTTTAGGGCTTGTCAAGGGCTCTCACAAATTTACATGGGTTTACCTTCTTTAGATAGGGTGGTAAAACAATTATTGTTGATTTTTATACATCATGTAGAGCTTCATAAGATATGACGAAATATTAGTAATCGTGTGTTAGGGATATAGCACTAGGTGACACTACATGCCCACACAGGAAAACACAAACAACAGACTTTCTTTAAACAAATTTTTATCTATCGGGAGACCAGACATTCATATTTAGTCCAATAAGGGTCTTATATGCAATGGCCTTTTGATATATATTTTATACCTGTAGGTCTACTTAGTTTCCAATGTCCAAAGAACTTAATGTGTGTTTGCTTCTCATTTTATACTCAATAATAAACCCAAGTTTAACCACATCATGGAAGTGACAACAACAAATAAGGATAATGATTTTCTATTCATAATTATTATGGTAATGTAACGATTCGCCACACTAACGATTCGCCACATAATGATACGCCACAGAGTATTAACGATTCGCCACAGTTATGTAACGATTCATTCGCTATGTGTTCAAATACAAACTTTTTCACACCTGTTTTCAAACTGTTGATGGAAAAAAAAAAATTATTTTATATTTCATTGTTTAATTACATAAATTGATGTTGAAAATATACTAAAAACAGCTTTTTCTTTTAAATAAAAACACATGAAAACAAATATTTTATTACCAAAATTACATTACACATTGTTATTAAACTTCGTTATTATTATAAACTAGAAGATATATCATATCGTACAAGATGGGGTATACCATTAATATATTCAGGTGGTTTGGAATTTAAAAAAACAATACAACCTTACAGATGACAAATACGTATTTTACTAATTTAAATGCAAACTTTTGAAGTTCTTTACAGTTTTATCACTGACAAGTATTTCGACATTAGAATGTTATTACTAAGTTATCTAGGATAACATATAAACTTCTCATGATAAACGAATTTCATGCATGTAGCACTGTGTTTTTTTTTTAACGCCAAAACAAAAAAATATCAACAATGAATTATTATTCATTCATTGTGAGGCCCACATGGAAGATTGGGAAACAAATGTGTAGCCCATTAAAATAAAGACTTCACTTACTTACTTACCTATTAAGAAAATCTGACAGGAACGAAAACATTTCGTTTGGTATTTATTCTGGAATTATAAATTGATTTAATGGCATGTATCATACATGTATTATAATTGCATGTCAGAACAATGAAAACTAAGTTCAAATTATTGATTCATTTTCCATTCATTTCTATAAATATTTTGGTTTCAGTGTAATCAAAATACATGTTAAACTAGCCTAGTTTTTCTTAAGTCCTTTAAGGATTATTTTCGTGTCAATTAAATATTCTACAAACAATCCAACAGGTGTTACAAATGTTTTAGATAAGCGTTCTTTTAATCAATAATCGAAAAATCACAATTTTTGTAAATGAACACATGTTTTTGCAATAACCCATTTTTTAAAAAATAAAATATATTTTGACATATATATACATAAATATAAAATAATAAA